TTTTCATCTCTCTTGCTTCCAAAAAAATCCTAATTTCGCTACAAGTTATAAGGGGACCGGATGCAGATGTCGCTAAATAGTAGCCCATTTTGCCGACTCTTGGGAATTTTTCGCCGAATTCGCTAAGAAAACGTACTCCCCAAAACAATCGCCAGCTTGGCAATATCTCGAGTATACCCAGTTTTGAAAAAAAGCGACGGATCCGAGAATATCCCCTCCCGTCCCCCCTACAACCAACTTCTCGAGAAGACTTTCGGTTGGCTACATATTTGGAGTGCCTCCGTGCGTGACAGACACTATTCATTTACAAACACCCATGCCTTTCCCGGGAATCGAACCTTGGTCTTTCGGTACGGCAGTCACATTCACTACCACTATCTCGGTTGCGTAATGGCAGACCGCACATTGAGTAACAGTGTTAAACGAATGTCGCATACTGCGCATGCCCAGAAAACAATTTGGCGTAATTACTGTTTGGCGCGATTTGAAAGAAGATAAATACGTAATGGTAATGTACCGCCATCTGATGTAAACAAATCTGGCGTTTAATCTTCGCAGAGTATATGTAAATGTAAAATTACTGCGTTAAAACTACTATTTTGCTGTACTCTCAAAAACAACTGAACGCTGAACTATGCGAAGGAATGGAAGCAGTGTTGCATTCAAAATGTAAAATATAAACCTATGAAATTCTGCCATTTCCTTTGGAACTGTACAAATTCGTTCAGAAAAAGACTGAAAGGTAGGATATATTAGTTGAAATTTTCATTAGACTTTCAAGCAATAAAAAAACATTCAGGATTTACCATACGTTCATTCTACATACATAAAGAAACACTGAGAAATAAAAGTGCTTGCAAAAAACATGAGGAAATTTACATTCCTTAAGCTAGTTATAAAATTCTTTGAAAGGAGAAAAAAAAAGCGCGAATATACGCTACAAACGAAGCGAGAAGTTTACAATACTGAATTATAATATGTAAACAAATTACATTAATAACGATTTTCCGAAATAGTAACAAAATAAAATGCATGTATTGACAAATACAAGAATATATATAGAAAAGAAGCAAGTCAATCGGTATGGCCGTTAAATAACTAATAGCAAAGTTCCACAACATACAGTTGTAACATCATTCGAACACACTCGACAGCAGGTGATCGAATAAGCTGGTGGGTTGCTAGTAGCCAATATTTCTCCCCGCGGCAAGGTACACATCAAGCATGCGCAGTAAGGAAATTGCTTAACATATTCAAATCAATGCGCGGTTGCCATACGATCCCGGTGGGCGGCATCAGAATTTAATTAATGATTCTGTGAGATGATAGGACTATCTCTCTTGACAGATAAGCTAGTCTAGATCCTGCTCATGACCCTGGCGACTCTTGCGACTGGGACGTGAATAATATCAGCGTAGAAGAAGATAAGACTTTGGTACTTTTCCGTTGCGCGCAAATTCGCAGCAGACGTTATGGCGACAACCCTACAGTATACAATAAAAAATGTCACAAATGTTAGTTATAAAATTTTTTTTTTGAAGGATAAATATTTTAATAGAGCTTAAAATTTTGTAAAAGCCAATACATAAAGCAATAAATTTTGAAAAGACATTATTTAGAATTTACTATTTTTAAACATCCTGAGTGTCGGTTCGTATCCGTAGCTCATCACGTAAACTATACTACAAAAATCTATCCTCAGTAATTATCTACATTAATTCAAGTAAATCCTTCGGAATGCAAGTTAAATGCAAGAATTATTTCATTCGTAAAAGTTTATTCGAAAATACGTAAAACCACAGTGCTTTACTTCGTGGTGCATTAGAATGATGAATTAATTCTGACTTTGCCTTATATTCGTCTTGGGGACGGTTTGTGATTGCTTCTATTGACTTAATACGAGAAGGGTTAGGTCATCAAAAGAGTATCTGGTAAAATTCTAGTCTTTTATGCCAGTATTGAAAAAAAAAAAAAATTTGATAGAAATGGCTGCGACTTGTTTTAAAAATGAGGCGTAAAAAGGATACCAGCGGGATGATTCGTTGGCATTAGTTGTACCATTATTGGCGACTTTATCGCCTGCGCCGGCAAAACGGAAAAGTACCAAGACTTTTTTATTATCAGCTATGAACAGAAAGGCACGTACTTTTAGCTTTACAATAACACTGACAACTTGCGGTGGAACTTAAGAACTTACACAATAAATTTAAGCCTAAAGAATAGTGCTGGCCTAGCACTTTAAGTTTAGGCTAACTAGGTTGACTCGACAGCCTACCCGGCATGAGAATTATTTAAATGGCCAAGAAAGACGTATCAGCAACTCCGCGTAACACCGAGGACAGACTCGTGATGTGCGCTGGCTAGAGAAAACACGCTCTGCATAGACTCCAAGATGCACCCGTTTAAATATTCACTTCACTTTACATCTGCATCCTGACGAGGAAATGCAAAGGAATGTTTAGGAGTTCAGGTAAGATAACAAAAATTTGAGTAATTGGTTAACTGAACTAAGAGAAACCCTGAAACGTGGACGTCGTTTCCATTGCGAAGATGAAATTGATGAGGTTATAAATACACTGCTCGACGTTGAAATTGCAACACCAAGAAGGAGTGGTCAGAAAGTGATGAGATTTGGAAAAAAGACAGAGAAAGCAAGCAGCAATAAGTGATCTTTATTTCAAAGTGTTAGTCAGAATACAGAACGAGAACGGCGTCGGCTCAGTAGGAGTAGGATGTAGGACCACCGCGGACAGCGATACACGAAGAAACACGTCTAGGCATTACATCAATAAGAGTGGGATGGTGTCTGAGGGTGGCTCTCCATGCTTTCACCATTGCCACAGTTCGTCTTTGAACGAGGCAGGGGCAGAGTCTGCAAACGGCGTCCATCAATCCCCATGTTTATTGTGACAGCAGGAGTAAAATAATATAGCAAGTCCCAACATTACAGTTGTAACTCATCGAACCACTCGACAGCCATGTAATCACGAATAGCTAGCGTAGGTTGCTTAGTCGCCAATTTTCTCCCATGCCAAGTAACACAAGCATGCGCAGTAAGCGACGGTGGCCAGGGAAGCTCTTATGCTGTTATTACAGCAGGACAACTCGTACGTCGGTGCTAGCGAAAACGCTCTAATTTTGCTTGTTATTAGGCTTCAGCCTTAGCACTACACGGAAGGGAGGGATGCCCCGGGAGGACTTTTAAGGAAACTGGCTCGTATACACGTTACACATGGGGAAAACCACGAAACGCCATCGCACCCGTTGCCGGAACTCTAACCCGATCGCTACCGTGTTCGGGCTTAACGCTCGGCGGCTGGTGAGCCACGCTCTGTTTAGGCTCCAAGATTCACCCGTTTAAATACTCACTTTACATCTGCGTCCTGGAGAGGAAATGCGAGGCGAGGAATGTTCAGTAGTTCGAGAGATAAAAATTGAGTAATGGTTAATTGAACTAGGGAACTCTAACGGACGTCGTTCCGTTCCGAAAATGAATATAAATACATTGTCAATCGCTTGATTAGGCTCTAGATTCAACCGTTTAAATACTCACTTAACATCTGCGTCCTGGAGAGGAAATGCGAGGCGGGGAATGTTCAGTAGTTCAGGAGATAAAATTTGGTATTGGTTAGTGAATAAGGGAAACCCTAAACGTGGACGTCGTTTCCGTTCCGAAAAGGAGATTGATGAGATTATAAATACATGGTCTCATCGCTCTAATTAGCTCGAAGATCACCTGTTAATACTCATTTACATCTGGTCGGAGAGGAAATGGAGCGAGGGAAGTTCAGTAGTCAGGAGATAAAATTAGTAATTGGTTATTGATAAGGAAATCCTAAAACGTGGACGTCGTTTCCGTTCCGAAAAATGAGATTGATGAGATTATAAATACATTTGTCTCATCGATTCCAGAAAATGAACGACTTGAGGCATTTAATCGTTGGAAAATTCGCCTACAGGAGTGCATTGATGCTGGGGGAGACTACCTTGAAGACTCTTAAAATTCCGTAAGTATAACTTTAAACAAACTATGCGTATCTGAAAGATTTCAGACTGACTGTACAACGGAACGTACAACGTACAACGAAAAATCGCAGTAACAATCATAAGAAGACTCCTGTGTGTTGGACGAAGATGGTGTCTCAGACAACGAATCCAAACTATTCCATCACATGCGGCGCTGTTTAGCCGTGTGACAATCCGATGGTACTTGGATTCTCGCATGCTTCCGGTATGATATATACCTGTATAACTATATGTCTTCGCCAAAATGAAGAAGCAGCTAAGTGATCCATACAGCATTATACTAGTATGGAGCTTATTTGGGCTTTTGGATGGTACTTGGAGCATCAACAGAGTTGGACTTACTGATAGTTCACAAATCTTTGCATTAATTTGGCAAGCAGGCAATTATACTGATGAATTGTAAACGTTTAACATAAGCAATAACACTCCTGTGTGTTGATGCTTATGTTAAACGATGCAAGGAATTTCTCCCGCTTTCTTAGCGTGCCTTCGTGATGTAGTGGTCTGCATGCTGGGCGCTTATTCCAGAAGTCCGTGGTTCGATTCCCGGCGAAAGCTTCGCTCATTTTTAATCTTTCCTGCTTCCAATAAGTACCTCATTTTTCTACGAAGTAACGTTTCATGTGCCAAAATCCCTGGGCTTATGAGTGTTACTGCGATTTCTGTGCATTTAAATTTTCTAATTTCTGATATTTTGCAGCACATCTGGATATGGAAATTGGTACGATCGACGACATTGGAGCTTTCTCTGTCGTGTGTTCAGAAATAGCTCTAAAACAAGAATCAACGCAGGTTAGTGGAGCTTACATTATTCTGGATTTCAAAAACTGCACTTTGCAACACGCCTATCACATGTTGTCCTTGAGATTTGTGACAAAGTTTGTAAAGTATTTACAGGTAAAGCCAACCTTTTATAAGTATCAATAAACCCTTTATTGTTTTCTAACTGATTAATTAACTTTATTGTTTTCTAACTGATTAATTAACTTTATTGTTTTCTATATATTATTACTTTATTACTTTCTATTCATTATTAACTTTGTAATGTTCCAATTTAAAATATACAGCTTTCTGTGGAACATTAAGAACTGGTAAGGAATAATCGCTTAGTTCAGAATGATAGAAACTTAATCGTACGAAGGGTTAATTACCCTTTATTATTCAGAATAAAGTTAACATTTAACTCCTTCCTGGAGTTTACAGCAAAACTCTCACTTGTGCTTGAACTCAGGGATGCTAAGAATAAAACTTAGCTAAACTAAAGAGATTTAGCCGAAGCTATCAAGAATCTACAAGGGTTGGCCCCCTTAACCCTTTGAGGGGCGGTATATAAAATAATTTAAACTATGGTAAAATTTTGCATGAACTATAACTTGGACCCTAAGGACCACTGAGACTAAAAAATTCTAAGCGAAATCCTGATTTGAGAGCCGGTCTTTTATACCGCGCCCTCTGACATTTTTTTTCAGGTAGTCCACTGTTATCTGTTTTTTTTAATTGGGTACTTTTGATGTGCGTCTGTAGTGCGAGTGCTTGAATATAGTTATGTAGGTCTAAGACAAATTTCTTATTACGGCACAAATTTAAATTTCAATAAATTTATGTTTTATGCCTTGATGATGCACCCGTGAACATCTTATGGGTCCCCCGCTCTCACTTGATTTAAATTCATATTATTTTATAAAAAAAAAATTAATTACGAGTAACCTGCTGTGTAAATCGTATCATGCTGTAACTGAAAGTATAATATGACGCAGTGTAACTCAGCCGAAATTTTAAAAATGAAATGAAGCACTACGACCTACCAGCTAGAAAGTGTTGCTTTTTGAATTGTATTTTATGCTTTAGATAATAGAGAAAAACCATGCTCATACTGATACAAGAATTCCCCCCTCCACGCACACACACTTTCGTCACGGAGGACCGAGGGCCCCTTTTTTATTTTTTGTAAATATAGGTTGTAATTACTTTTTGTTCCGGAAGAAACCCGTTAACATTTTTATTTGATACCTCAAAGCTCTTATTCTGATTTTCAAACCCCTTTGGCTTCATAGGGATCCTTTTCAACTTTTGGATAAATTCTAGTTTGCATCTAAAACGGGGCTTAGAAATATTTTTCCTCATTTCGCCAACTGAGAAATTTATTTCAACAACAACCCATTTGTCGTCTGAAAGTCTAGTCTTTCATCTGAAATTAACAAAGAATTAAAAAGAATTTCCCTAAAAATAAAGCATGCTTTCAAATCCAGTTTTTGTGATTCACTATGAGATGGACCTTAAGTACATTTCCATTTTAAGTGAGCTTTCCTTTGTTGATCTTATCACATTCACAAAGGGAAGAAGGCCTGGCTCCCGAAGGCAAATTGGTTGTCATCACCTCTTTTCATTTTCTTACATTCTAGGATTTGGAAAAAGGAAGCAACATGAGTTTTTGGGGGCAGCATGCCACTTTAACCCCCACAATTTGTGAATTTTGACCCAGCGGCAATTTTGAAATCGATGAGTCTTTCTCTTGGGAAAGAAAGTGCTGAAATAAAAATTTAGCTAAACACAGACGAATAAACTTGAGGAGTACACAAAGAATAAATGAAACTAATATACTTGTATTCAGTCCTAGCGCAGGGCAGAAACTCCCCATTCTCATGAACATAATTTTTTCCAAACGACTTATAAGTTTTCATGAAATATTATTACATCATAAACTGTTATAATAATAAAAATTCTGTCACGTCACAGAGTAAAAGAGAAGATGGTGCTGCCATCTATTGGCGTGGTACCCTCAGTGTGGGCGCCGGTATATATTATATACCGGTTTTAACATCGTATAATAATCTGCTGTTAATTATCACTTCTGACTGAAATAAAGTAATATAGATTCAGATGTGTACGTCATATATTGCAGATTTGATTTTTTCTTTCCCCCATAATTTATCATCTTCCAACATGATACCTTGGAACGACGTATATTAATTTCATAACTTAAATATTGAGCATTCATAGGTGTTTGCCATTTAGAATCGAAAAATACTAGACACTTACGATTATACTTTGGTGTAGAAAAATTAGCATTTTTTCGGAGGTTAAAAAATTGACAAACAACCGGTATTATATACCGGTGCCCTTCAAAGGGTTTTAACGCTAACTAAACGGCGAAGCTATCAGGTGACAGCAGGGCCAGACACCCGGACGTCTTTCAAAGACTACTCGGGTATATTCCGGGACTCGTAATGGCAAACCGCACATTGAGTTGATCAATGTTAAACGAATTTCACGTACTGCGCATGCCCAAAAGAGAATTTGGCGCAGTAAGGACTTTGGTGCAATTTTAAAAGAAGATAAATACGTTATATGGTTGATATTGTGTTGTCTTGGGCGCAAACAATTCGAGGTTTAAAATATGTGAGGTTGTAAGCTGCTTCATTACTTGGAGTGTAAACGTCGATTGCAAACTACCCAAATTTTCTTTTAAAAAAGATTACAAGACAGGAAACATTACAAGATATATTAGCTGATTATACTTCTGAGGAATAAAAACAATTGTGTATTTACCATACGTTCCCGTCATATATACTTTAACAAATTAAGGATTAAATCTAAACTCATGTCCATAAATTAAGGATAATGCAAAATCAGGCAAAGAAAGAGTTAGAAGCAAAACAATTTTGACTATTTGTAAAGCTTATTATTAAACAAAGGTAAAGAGCAAAAAAGATGCTATATGTTTGATATTATTAAAAAAATTAGCGGTTTTTTCTCCCTGGAGCAAATTACAGAAACACCTATTTACAAAAAAACAATATTACATGGTGGTATGATTGTTATACATTGTATGTCTCCCAGATGAGCAATACAGTCCATACAACGCCTAGGCATGCTAATATCAAATTATCGATGTGATCTGGGGGATATTACACCACTCAAAAGCAATGCCTCCGAAGTTCCGATAGACATGTAAAGAAGGTTGACGGGCTGCAACTGTCGGCCAAGTATATCCCACACGTGCTCTACTGATTCAAGTCCCGTGAGAATTCTGGCCAGTCCTACGGGTGATATCCTCCGATTGAAGGCATTCGCTTACGATGTTTGCACGGTGAGGACGGGGGTTGTCATCCATAAACACAAATTGTCCGTCCATGGCGCCCCGAAACAAACATACATGTTGTTCCAGAATGACGTCCGCTAGATTTGGCTTGTCATGGTCCAATTTGAACATGCAGGTTCTGAACTGGAATAACTCCACCCAATCATTCCACCCCAAACGAGCACTCCTGCACCACCATAACGGTGTCGTTCAATGATGTTTTCTTGGTGGTAACGGGTACCTGGAGCTCTCCATATGAAAGTCCGGCAAGAATCAGACTGCAAGCTAAACCTGGACTCGTCGGAAACATCACACAAGCCCACTGTTGCGGTGTCCACAATGCATGCTCTCTACTCCAGGCTAACCGCAGGCGACAGTGAGTTGCGGTAAGTGGAACGCATCTGACAGGTCTACGAGCATATAGACCAATCTGCCCTTAGCGTCTGTACACGGTCTGACTTGAAATTGTCGTACCAGTGGCTGAAGAGAGCTGACGAGACAGGTCTGAGGCTGTGCTCCGCCTATTTCTTTTGGCAGTAACTGCCAAATACCGGTCCTCATTCGGCGTTGTAACTCGGGGCGACCTGTGCTGTAACGTCTACTCCCATTACCATCATCTTGGAATCGTTGCCAAAGCTTAGAGATGACACTCTGGGCAATTCCAAGCTCGTCTGATACTTCCAGTTGGGTACGCTCACATTCCAGACGGCCGATAATTCTACCACGTAAAAAATCATCCAAATGCGTCCTTTGTGTCATAACTATTCGGTTATTGCACTGAAATGCTTAAAGCGCCTGCGAACAATTTTACTTCTTTGCTGATTCCTTATATATCACTTCTTACACTCTCGTCATGTGACGTACCATCGGTGTCGTCTGTTAATTCCTGAAATTTGCATATGATTCTTCAAGATGGTGTAGTGATTTTACAGGTTATATATTTATTTTAGAGTTCGATTTCCGCGTGACTCCGAATTATCCTTAATTTATGGACATGAGTGTAGTTTAAATTACGGAATTAAAGGTCAAATAAATTATTGTAAGTAAATGAAATAGACTGTTGCAATTGTAAACAGTCGATAAGATCTACGTGACGAACAGGCTTATGTAGGGTTGCTTATACTTAGTCTCCAGTATTTTCTCCCACGGCCAGAGGTACACCATTGAGCATGCGCAGTAAGCAAAATTCGTTAACATTGATCATCTCAATGTGCGGCTTGCCATTAAGCATCCGTGACCCGCTCCATCTAGAAGATAACATGTTTAGAACATAAAATACCTAGCGTTGCATTACCTACACGACAGGTAACGATCATTTGTGAGCTGAGGATTTTATTTTTAGTGTAGTTATATTGTTCTGGTCTAACCGGGGCTTTATGTAGCAAAGTTAAAGTTAATATTGCTGTCAGATTATAATTATTTTCTATTGCATTTTTAAGTATAGAACACCTTACTACGCGTGGCCTTGGTGTGACCTTCTGCAGGTTTTTTCCTTTTGGGAATTCCCCGATGGGCCTTTGAGGTGCTTAGTTACTTATGTTACTTTATGGTTTAAAGCAGGTTTTATTATATGACAGAAACTGCATCTCTGTGAGTGTTTTCGTCTGTGATTGTTTAGTTGCGTAAGTGTTTGTTTGTGTTTTGTGTTATTTTCTTATCTTTAGTTTTTTTCTACTAACCCTTCTTTATTTTTGATTAGTTATTTTATGTTTTCTACTGTGATGCTTTATCAGCAGGATTTTTAAAGTGGAAGTTGGAATGCTGATTGCATATTTTTAAGTTCTTTTTTGTTTCTTTATACTAATTTTTTTGTGTA